TTATAATCAGCACACTTTTATTTATCCTTGACTGCAATTATCAACAACAAGATAAAAGTAATAATTCACTTGATTTATATTTTTTTTATATATGATACTTCTATATTATTTTTCTTTGTATGATAAATTATGTCTGATTAATTTTTTTCATTCTTTGATTTGACCAATTAAAAATCTTCTAAATTAAAATCATGACATTTCTTAATTAAGCATTAAAACATTTTTTATTTCTCAATTAAGCATTAAAAGATGAAATGCTCGCGCAATTTATTTTTCGATGGAAATTAAGTAATACTGCGCAACGATCGTAATAATCGTAAACACAGAGACATACATAAGCATGAATTGTTGCACAATTTTATTTATAGAAACAATTTTATTTTATTATTCAGTGATAAAGAGACATAAGTTACACACTTGCCTATCTTTTTCTTCCAGTTCAACTCGTCAATTTGAATTCAGCGTTTCGAAAGTTTTCGAGATAGGGGAAAAAATCGCGTGCATCTCTTTCTCACATTTTTCTCACATTTTTGAAATAAGCTCGTTTCATAATAAGGGACGTTCTTTTAATGTTAAGATGAATTGGGAATTTTAATACGCACAATTATCTCTGCTTTCTAATACGAACGCCTGCAGACATCTGTGAAAACGATTCCTTTCGCCGTGCTGCTGGTTGTCAAGTGAATAATCCGCCCTTCCTAGGATTTGACTTCATGAAACTTTCGAATGTCGAGTGTCAAGCGAACGAATGAAAAAATTCCAACATTTGCAAGAAGTAAAATCTATGAAATTGATCATTTCTTAATATACTAATATACTATAAAACTAAAATGGATAAAATTGCTACAGGTCAGTTTATTTTGCAAGTTTAAATAGAAATACATCTTATAACTGAACATTTATTATACTGAAAAGGAATTGGAAGAAAAAACTGTTAATAAATAGTTATAACTTTAGAGATTTGTGTTACGTGAATAATGCGATTATGTTTGCAACGTGCGAATTGGTTAACAAAACCGCGACGCTCGACCTTTCCTTCATTATGCCGCGAGCAGGAGCGACTTTCTCGTGAGGAAAAGCAAGGTTTCCCGAGCTGGTAATTGATCTTACACGAGCGACTCTGCGTTTTTGTTCAACGTGATTCAGCAAGCGATCGCTGAAAGCGACTCGAAAGACGAACTCGAACGGTTACCTGCTCTTTGCGGCCTTGTTAACGAAACGACGGACGTCCGCTGGAACTCATCTTGGCATGGCTTCCAAGAATTTTGTTTCGTTCCTATTAATTATCGGAGACTTATTCTCTCTCCTTTCGATTCGATATTTCTGTTCGCAAAAAATGCAATAAATAAACCAAAGTTGAGTTTTGGTGATGCTTCAAAGAAAAGAAAACGATCTATCAATACAGTTTTATCGCGTATACTTTAGGATTCAAAAATTCAAATCCAAAAATATATCATCCGTATTATTTCTCCTATTTAAAGAACATATTTGTTGAAATGTGCACAGACAAAGAATTCGATTAATGATTGAAAATATCGATTTATATATTTGATATTAAAATTTTATATTTGAATGTTGTCGAACAAAAATGCTAAACGTACTTACTATTGTATAAAAAGAATATTATATAATTAATATCAAAAAATAATGAAAACAGGAAATATATGCTTTTTATGAATATTTTATCTTATTCTAGAAAAAAAAAACAAGAAATTTAATTCAACGTTTTAAATATACTGAAGAAAAAAATTGAGAAATTCATAAAATTAATATCTTCTTTTTGTAATATACATATAAAATATTACATCATATTAAAGCCGCGATTATTTCTTGCTTTCAGGTTCGCGACATCGTAGAGGAATGCACATGTCCGACACAGTTCCCGATGATTCATGTGGCTGAGGGCAAATATCGAATCGGCGATACCAAGGTTACGATTTATGTCCGGGTTTTGCGTAGTCACGTGATGGTACGTGTCGGCGGCGGGTGGGATACCCTCAGCCACTATTTGGAGAAACACGATCCATGTCGATGTAGAAACTGTGAGTATCGCACTAATTTTTATCAGATCTTTTCTTGTTAAATAAGTTGCATCCTGACAAATCTAATGATCAATTTTTTAATCATTTTTTTAGCACACCGCTCGATGATCTCGGCGAAACTTATTCAAAAAGCTGGTGGATCTTTTGATCTCGGGAACGCGCAGGTGCATTATGAACGGTGAGTGTCTATCTTTTCTTTGTCACATCAATTTCAGTTTTAATTATACATTCATTTAGTATCGCGTCATTAAAATTATACGACGTTAGAAATTTATTTTCGGTCTTTTATACTATCTCATTTCATTCATTACATGCTATCTTACACAAAGTGTTTTTGAATTTTAAATGGCGAAAAAACAAAATTTTTATCATTTTGAAAATTCTATTTAATATTCAATATTCAATGCTGATCATATACGATTATGATCATCGATACGTCTATCTCTACATTTTGAGTGTAAATACCATCCAGTTTGTAAATCCGATGTTGCATTAGTTATACGCTGTCTGAGCTATGGATTTTATCACAAGTCACTCTATAGAGGATAGTAAAATACACAAACATAGTGTATACATTGTATAGCTTATATAGTACCGTTTGTAAGTGCATGAGATTTACATGAAAGAGAAATAGCCTTTTGTAAAAGCAGATTGTACCATGTATTACGTCATACTGTGTGTGTATCTCCTTCAACTTTTACGGGAAATAGACGTGAAGTAACTTTACTAACATTGACGATTTTTCCTATTAATCTTTCTGATCTTATCTTAAGTTCACGATATGGGCGATACTATACACGTCGTGACATTTCATCGCCATCGCAGAAATTGAAAATTTCTCGATACACATTCGGTTAATACGATCTGATAACGACCGACATCAATTCCATCATAACACCCGGTTGTTGTTTTCGCCACCAGATCATCACCTCCAAGGACCCGACGAAGTTCCGCGTCGAGCGTCGGTTCGGTGCAGAATCTACAATCGGCGCAGCTGCACGCACCACCCAGAAGCATTTCCAGCAATCGCTCGCGATCGCCCACACCTCACCGACCGACAGCAGGCAACAAACAACAGCATCAGCAGCAATCGTGTGACGAGCAGAAGAAGCGCTCGAGAAGTCCGACGCCACATAGAAAATTGCTGGCGAGCCCGAATCACCAGACCGACTTGGTGAAGCAGAGATCAAGGTCGCCGACGCCTAGAGCGAATCTGAGATCGAGAAGCCCGACACCGCGGAAAAGCACAGATTCGTCCAGAAGAAATGCTAACGAGGAGGCACGATCGCCAACATATTACGGAAAACCACAGGAAAATGGACGAGTAAGTTTATCTTTTATTCTACGAAAGAAATTATTTCTAGAGAAAGCCCGATATAGCTTTTAGAACAAAGAATATTGTAAATTTTGATATATTTTAAAAACTTGAATTTTTTCCATAGTAGAATTACTTTTGATTATATTAACTTAACATGTTAAAACTTCGTGACAATATCTCTCTTTCTCTCTCTCTCTCTCTCTCTCTCTCTCTCTCTCTCTCTCTCTCTTTTCGCATTACACTGAAAGAAAAGTATTCAGTATTTATGATTATATAATTATAATTATATAATTAGAATTTTTTATAAGTGTTATGTTATGTTAGTAATAATAATTATATTTATAGCTTTACCAAAAAATATATAGTTGATACTGAAAATAACTGTAAATTATAGTTAAATTATGATTGCACTCATGTTTCTCTCCCAGGGTACTCATAATTTTACAAGCAAAATACAATGGAGAAAAGATACAATGAGATTTTTTTGCGCTGTTTAGGAGAGTGGTCTTAAGGTGCCGGGCGAGTTTACGAAACGATACGTTGTGGAGGGTGGCGTGGCACGCCGAGCCGTTGAGAAGGACGACACACCGAAGTACGAACCGTCCATCTACAACTACAAGTGCAGTGAGGACTCGAGCGGCAGCCGCAGCCCGACGCCGAGCAAGGAGGAGCAGCCGGTCCTTGAAACTTTCGGCAAAGACACTACGGCGAACACCCAGAAGTCGCCGCACGGTGACGGAGAGCACTCGGACAATTGCAGCGAGGTGTCCGACGAGGGTTACCGTAGTCTCGGTGCCGTCCAGTCATCAACCGTCAACGGGAATTCCGCCAGCACACAGGGCTCGCCCACGGTTGCCGATTGTCAAAGTAAGTGGACCCTACATACATATAGTATTCCCGATATCGCGTTCTGTACGGGATTTAATCAGTAACCGCTGCTCCGTATTTCGCAATAGCGAAAGTAAAACATTCGTTCCTTTTATGTATATCCGAGACACACACCATCTTATTCAATGATAAAATTGATCGTTCCTGTTCGTGGAGATTGATAAGGTCTCGCGACGTTCGTTTTCGCTGTTCGAGTGAATACGATGATCAGACTCGAGTGTCCGGCGTTTGGACGTGTACTCGCCATCATCCGCGAGCGAGTCATCGAAATTAATAAGAGGGACAAGAAGAGAAAGAAACAGAAAAAAAAGAGGAAGCTAAGGGGGGAGGGGAGAGAGAGAGAGAGAGAGAGAGAGAGAGAGAGAGAGAGAGAGAGAGAGAGAG